AAATAAGTTTATCTTTCAATGTAACATTCTTTGCTGTTAGATATTGGGTAGATGAAAAGTTGAAATTTTATGGTGACAATTAATTTCAAAATTTGAAATGACTTAAAAGCTATGGGAGCGAGATGGCATGAAAATTTTCGTGAATGATTCCGAAATGAAAAGAAGAGCAGTCTGTATTTCTCTAACCATCTACTTTCGAATAAGCTACCCACTGCAACGTGCATCTCTTCTACTTCAGCATTTCAAACCACTTTCTCTCTCGGGAAGTGATGATAAGCCTAATCCATTCTCAGAGTCTTCAATACCCAAACATGCGTGGAGGCTCTGCATATGTTCCCACTTGTCGTCGAGTGTTTCGGTGGCTATGTGGGTAGCCTTGGAGTTTGGGTGAGAGAAGAGCAAGAAGAATCTAAGGCTCTGATCCTGATAGGTTTGGTTGGCTGGAGGTGCCGTGAGGAGGTTATCGGGATTTATCCACCTTCGGTAGTAAAGAACACTGGTGAGGTATTTTGGATTGATTTATTAAAACAATCTCACCAAATTTCGTCCTATTGTTGACATCACCTAATGTGAGAGGGGCGAAAATCTACCAGGATATCGGTATGTTGTAGAATATCATTTAAACCGGATTATGTTGTTTTGCTTGATGGATATCCGAAACTAGACCATGGTGCTGTGCAATTTCGGTTTGTTATTGTTTTACCACCGAATGCTGTACCAATGGATCACCTGAGGAAACCATTCCTTACAACAGAAATTCTCTCAAGTAATTTTATTTTTTTCAAATGTTTGATTTTAAGAAAAAAATTTAACAATGAAAGAGATACATATCAAAATTGAATTTTAGCAAAGTGTAGCTGTCACATTTTCGTATCAAATTTTTCATTTTTACACATTCAATACTATCGAAACTTTAAGTCAGTAAAATCACTGAAATATTGTACTCCTCAAATGTATCCATACATTTTTGATTGTAAATATTGAGCAACGCCAATTTTGACTTCAGATTTGAGGCTAACATATTTGCCCTGACTAATTAGTAATGATTTGATTATTTAACCGTTAATACTTCTTGACTTGTTTGAAATCTCAGCGATATGTATATTGCTAGCTTTCAACATTACCCTACTGAAGATTCTCCAGCTTTCTGGATGATTTACTATAACGTATCACATTTAAGAGTGAAGTCATTTTTTCTTTATCTTAATTTAATTTACAAAAGCAGACTTTCTGAATGCATCAATCAAAGAATTTGAGCGGACATTTGGCTGGAAAGTAAGCAGCTATGAACGATTTCCGAAGTTTGATTCAGTAACAGAATTCATGAATATGGGTTTGATTCCCATTGGATTCATCCTTCTTATACTAATGCTCCTGCTTGCTTATTGGTCTTCTACAATCAGGTAAGAAATCGCGAATATTTCATTTCAACTAGCAAAGTTTTTCTGGAACAAAATTTCATAACTCTGAAGTACTGTATCAAGTTTTCAGGTTAATACACTGCTTCAGAGTTACGACACTGTATCGAGTTTTCATTATTTTTGATGTTGCTTGATTATTCAATTTCTAATTTTGATCTAATTTTAAAAAATTTTAAAAATTGTTCAAAGGGAATTCTGTTTCCAAAATTACAATAAAACTATGGAATTTAAAAGATGATAAATTTACAGTCGTTCAACTGGTGGTAGTGAAGATTGGTTTGTTACCGGAACAAGCGGTGGTAAGAGTTCAGCTATGAAGTAAGTTTTGTTGAAAATATGATAACGGCTGTAAAGCATAACAAAATGATTGCTTATAAATCTATAACAATTTGACTTACTGTCCAGTAATTAATCACAATTCAAAGTATTAAGCTACCGGCTGTCAATTTAAAGTGGCATAAATTCTTAATAGAAAGCAGGAAAACTATCAGACTTTATTATAACTCCAAAAATTTTCTTCGTTTTTCAAATTGTCGATTTTCTTTCCAAATTGCAGGAGAACTTTAGAAATTATTGAAGAGCAGAAAGCTTTATTTTCTGAAAAGAATGGACAGGAGTCATGCTGTGCTAAACTTCCAAGGCTTTCAATTCAGACAGTTTCCGAAACAAAAACGGAAAAGCATGAGTCAGATAAAAATGTTGATACATCCAAGAACGAAATTACCGATGAATGGAATAAAAAGTACTGGATTCAGATGACTTTGAATTTTCGTTAAAAATTATTAAATTATCAACTTTACTGTACAGATCATTCTTCACGTTTGTTCCAGTCTTTAAGTTTCAAATTTTAGATGGAAAAATGGCATACAGGATATGTTGTATATGTAATATATAAAAAATCCAATAATATAAAATACATTTAAATACGTTATTGAATTAATCAAAAGTCTCAATTCGCATGAATTTTCGTTACTGCCATAATCAAAATAATGATAAAGGAGACGCCTATGTAAATGGTATGAAAACGATCTACAAACTAAATTTTTTAATCACCTGATTGAATCTGTGGTAAATGGCATTCGATTTCAGACTATTAATAGAATCGACACCATTACATCTCTCAATAATAGAGTCTGGAAGTACATCAACATTGGGTTCGACTACTGCTTTCAAAAATGTCACGTAAGTTGTTGTCAATGGCTAGTTTCTTTCCGTTTTTTTTCTTTTTCTTGCATTTGTACCTAAGTACCACCCCAAAGTAATATTAGAATGTTGGAATATCATCACTTTCTAAACATTTCGCATGACACATCCCCTACTAATGATGTAACCGGACGTGATTCAATACAAGTTTGTCACAGGAGGCTTCTTTGACCTCGGTTCTCTGATCCGATTGCTAGCTAGATCATCGGTAGAACAATATGGCAGTAATCTGGAAGCTAATGATTTTTCTCTGAAAATATATCTACTGGTAGTGAGCGTTGCGACTTCTTTACAGTACTCATTTTCTGGTTATTCTTTACTGCTATACAGCTTATTATTGCTAAAATATCATTGTATCATTAGGTGCAGCTTCTACAACAATAGTATATATATATAGATAGTAAATTTATAGTGAAAGACGAGTGTCTCGTCAGCGGCTCAGTTCCATTGATGATGCTAATTTTAATACCAAGCGACATCGCAGAAAGCGATTTACTTCGAGAAAAAAGCGACTTACGCAACGGGAGTGGAAACTGACAAGTATGGCGTTGAGTGGATTTGGAAAATCCCGAAGATACTGAATAGAAGTATTTGGGAATCATAAGCAGGAATTCTGCCCCTCCATGTAACTATAAGTCATTTGTTAATTATAAATTTAATTGTGCCTTTTTTTTAGATCATTCAAATGATCAAGTAAAGCTTCCACATTTCACATTATCTTTCCTGTCAAAAGAAGTATAAATGGTAAATTTGAAGGTGTTAGCTTATTTTAAAAAATCATTCGAGCGTCTTTTACTCCATGACATCATGAAAAAGTTTTAAAATAATCTTGCATTTTTTATGATATACTTAATTATACATTATTAAAAGTATATACTACGATATTTGCATGTTTTTTGTTTGTCTGTTTGTTCTGTCAAAGAATAATCAGGATTAGTCTTCCTGCAACCTAAATCGCAAACTTCAATAATTCGCCAGATTTATCCAAACAATGTATGTGCCAGAACGTTTTGATTGTATCATAAACTCTTCTTGACTGTATATGGCTTATGCAGAAGAAACTCATAATGACGTTGTAAGAATGTTCCGTGAGATTTTTCAGAAGCGATAAAGCATCCAGTGGTTCGAAATCCTGATTTGCGCTAGCCAGCAAACGACAATGTATATCTTATTGGCTTGGTTCCTGTTTCAGAGACTTATGTTGTAACATGCTAAGGGTATTGCTACTTCTACCTCAAAATGTCCAAAACTAGATTTCGAAAGCTAGCATTACTTTATAAGGCTTCCATGAAGGCGAATATTCTACATATTCTACCTGTACTGTGAACGTCAAGTAGTTACAATCTCAACCGACAATCTCAATCTCAACTTAGCGTCAAGCAGTTACAATCTCAACTGAATCTAGATACAATCGAACTTACAGAAACCATAAAAAAGAAAAAAAAAGAACTAATAGTCCGACCAGTGATCATCCTGATCAGTCACAACGGGAATAAGAAAAAGTAAAAAAAAAAGAAGAAAAAGACAATTAGAAAAAGACAATTAAAAAGACAATTCTGATTAGCAAAAGGAACGGTTTGGGAAGAAATTTAGATCAATTTCTTTTACCAGATTATTGAATAAATAAATAGCTTTACCGTTGTCCCAAGTCATAATGGTAATTCCGTCTGTTTCCTTAAATTAGAAACAAGAAAATATTATTTAAAGGTGTTTTCAAAGGACTGACAGGGTTATGCAATCAGTGATTAATCAAAATCTACTTTAGATTCAGTCTCATTATTATCGATATATATATATGTAGTCACCAGTGCAAGGGCAAGTTTTCAAAAAATAATAAAGGCAGTTTCGAATCTGAATGGGTTAGTTTTTTTTTGAATCAGGTTAGTTTTTTTTTTCTTTGAATATTTTCTCTTTTTTTACGAGAAGAGGAGGAGTAACCGAGGAAAATCTTTTTTTTTCTGAAAAATCTGGATCTAAGCACTTTAATTAGACAATATGGCGAGTAGTAATGAGGAATTTCATGTAAAAAGTGTATCAGTGAATGGATTAATAGAGGAATATGCTAAAGAACTGATACGAAAAAGAGTTGAACAGTATGCTGAAGGAAATTCTGGACAAATTCAAATGTATGTAGCAGTGGCATTAATTTTTATTCGCTTAATATAAATCTTCAAGTACTGCTGCACTATCTAAGGCAAAAATGCATTTTATGCAACAAATTGAGTCGACTGAATTCATTTAGCTACCTACGAATCACAAGCAATATAAGAATTTTGGCAGTCCCCAATCAAAAAGGCCAGATAGAATCCTAGGAAAACTAACGGCACTATTAATATCACTTTGGTTACCTTTCATTCTTACAATTCAGAAATTAGATGTAAAAAGAAACCGCAAAAAGTATTGGTTTTTGTTTCTATTTCAGAAGAGAGTTAACCATGTAAAATGAAGGTCAACGGTCACATTTTAGTGGTCCATCCATTGGATGAGAACTGGGCTCCTAGGCTAATATTGCCAGTTTTCCCTACGTTACCTTGATCGGTTGCGTATGGTGGCTAGCAAGTTTACCTTGAGCTCGTAGTGATAGCATGCGAGGATAGTGATGAAACAGATAACAGATTGGTGGAACTTACTGCTCCACAGCTTAATTAAACAAAAAGTAGAATGTAATGGGATATAGTTGAATAGTAAAAAAGTAGAATATATAGGGTAAGGAGGTGTTGTGAAAGGGACATGATAAATGATCAACCAAAAAGACATCAACCGCGAAACGATTATATATATATATATATAAAGCAAAACAAAAACCAAATAACAACAGCATGTCACATTATTTCGCAGTTATTAGAAATCCATATTTTTATCGTACAAGTATCACTTATGCTACTATCTAGTTATTATAAGATATTTAAATGCTTTAAATATGTTCAGTTGGAAAAATATACTCCTAAATTATTTCCTAATCCATAGCTTCTTTCTTACTTATCTCTAAAAGTAACAGTGCCAAAGTTAACTAGCTTCACTCGAAATTGGAAGAGATGCTGCATCAATTTTCATCACTCAAATAGGATTTCCATTAGGGAAGCCATCGTCCAGATGAGATTGCTAGTCTAATTTGCCAATAATGGATATCTTTGCCACAGAACGACTGTCAATAATTAACTCACACTCCATAAGAGAAACTTAGCTCAAACAATCTCAACCAAACTATTGCCCCTTGCGGGACTTCCAAAAAATATCATTACAATCATGAATACTCTCCTGCACGGAAATCTTTAGTAAAAGGCGAAAGATTTTCTCGGTCAAATGCAGGAGAGTAAGACAACACATCATTCCCTCAGTCATTATTAAAGACAAGTTTGCAATGATTGTGCAGTGGTTCAATGGACGAGAGAGACGAACAGAGAAAAGTAATCTAAATTGTTGCAATACAATTTGAATGGGTTGAAATTTCATTTTAGGTTTTAATTCTTGCTTCAATATTTTTCATACAAATATAGGTTGACCTATAGTGTTATTGTGCCAGTTAAGGTCAATAGGTTTGATATTTCATAAAGTTATTTAGATCATACTTTATTGACAATACCAAACTAATGCCTTTTGCTTCTTTTTCCTCCCTTCCTCTCTCTCTTTCCCTCTCTCTCTCTTCCCTGTGTTTCAACCGTTTCATTCACTGCAATTAATCAACCCCTTTACTCTCGATGTCATCTTGCAAAGTGATGCATTGAAAAGAAAAAGAGATTGCTCTTTATACAGCTGCTACAATGAAGTTTTAAAAACCACCTGAAGTTTGCTGAAATGTGAACTATTAACCAGCAGGGTGGAAAGGTTGGTATCGCTTCTCGGCCTATTGGCTAAGATCAAAGTGTAGTATCTGTTCTTATCAGCTTAATCTCTGATATGTGATCTATCGATCACTTCGAGATTATTCTATTTTTGGGACCTTGGTAGGTTTGAAGGGGCTTGCTCCTCATCTACCGCGGGTCGACCCGGTATTGCACCTACCTCCGGGAACGGCCCATCCATCCTTCGGGATGGAAAAAATTACGCATTTATTAGACTGTCGGGTTGATGAACGGATTTGTCAGATTTTCCAGTTCATTTTTAGGTAATGTTGGTCGATGTCTGTCTCTCCTTTTACCACATGAATGTATTGGTAATTTTGTACTGGTAAATATGGGAACCATTGATTAAGCAGATCAGGTTTTATTGATTCAATAATACTTGATTTTTATACCGTTATTGGTTTCTTCTTCGCAAGCTGGATTTGTAAGTCAATTACCCTGGCCAATCTAATGTCGAGAATTACTTACCCAGTACGTGACAAATGAAATGGAGCCAGATAACTCCTAAGTGTTTTGCATTGCTTCCGCTGATATCATCAAAATAGTCAATAATATCCGAGCAAATTCTGCTCAGACTGCGGTCTTATCCCTTCATCTGCGTACAACGGTCCTAAGCGTAGATTTCCGCCCAGTGGTTCATGAGAATTAAAATATGGTCTGCAGGGACGACAGCGCAATGAGCAAAAAACAGATAGGGGCTTTTCTCATCAATGTTCGACAAACTAATACATTGAAAATTTTGGTTAAAATTTATTTTCAAATTCATAGAATTTATTTCTGAATCTTATGATCCCTGCTACAAATAAAAAATCCGGAGCGGTCTTGGTCAAGAAAAGGTTGGGAACCACTACCGTAGATGCATTGATAATCCATTTTCACTTAGTCGCTGAAATCAGAAGAAGCAGTGAATCAGCAGTTCCTTTGTTGTTAATTTGATACTGCTAGATATATGTTTTATGTGTGGATATACTGTGAAATGTAAAATGTAAGCTAAAATTGTGCGTCCATTGTGTCTGTGTATTGCAACAGAGGGCGTAATCATTGTGATTCGAGAATTGTACCAGGATCCTCCCTCTCCGTGGAAGAAGAGGTTTCTGAGCAGCAGAGGCATTTCTAGAGATGTGTTTCAACGAGGTCGTGGGATTGACGATATCGGGCATCATTGGGTTCCCTTTCATATTGCTATCGTCATTAATTTGTCATGTCGAAGTGGCTATTGAGTGGTTATTGCTAAGTTCTTTTTGTGTTAACAAATTTATTGTAATAAAAGTTTAATAAGCCAAGTTTGAGATGCTATCAACCAAAGAACTAGAAGGAACACTGAATTTTTATCACGTTGAAGAGAATCGTTGACACGCTTGTTTTACAGTCGTTCAACTGCTAATGATGAAGAGTGGTCTGTTACCATAACAGGGCTGGTAGGAGTACGGCTATGAAATAAGTT